CGAGCGATCACACTAGTCAAACGAGTACACCCTTATTCTCCCGCATCCCGCACACACGAGTCTCTACCCGCTCGCACCCGCACTCGCCCATCAAGTGATGTCCCGCGCCGCACTCTGTTGCGTTGGGTCCCGCGATCGTGCAGGTCTCTACTCGGAAGGTACCTGTTATAATGTTATGATCGAGGCTCTGGACTCTGAGCATAACTTGTTTTTCTATAACAAACTATAAAATATTTTCTATAAAAACGTTAATGCCCTGGCAGTGGCAAATAGCTTTGGTTTTATATTTAATTTGATTACATTAATGCTATAAGTTAAGATTTACAAGAAATATTTTAACTGCTACCATGTAAAAGGCATACTGCTGTAAAAAAAGCACCTTATTTGTTTAAAGTGTTTGCAAACCAAATGGTATTGCACTTTTGTTCATATAGCAGTACTTTTAAATGAAAAAAAGTGCACAATACACTACTTTTGAATTCATTATTGAACGCTGTGCATAACAATGTGATTAATCGCGATTAAAAATTTTAATCGTTGCCCAGCACTAATTTAAAGTAATTTTAGCTTTGGTAATTTTCAGAAGTTTTTACTTCCTGAACAATAATTTGACCCTTATTTAATTTAAATCCAGACTGATAAAATAGATGATGGATGTGACTATGACTTGTGGATATTTTAGTCCTCATTAGCACACTTAAAGGGAGTGATTCAGATTTGTAACATGATTTTCTTTGGTGAAATAAGTAGATTTAAATGTGATCCACCTTAAAGACACATGACTATTTTAACTGACATACTGATTCCTTTTAGACATTAATTTGCTTTTAGAAATTCATCCAGAAGGGGTCAGGATTGTCCCACAAGTGAGAGCCTCTTCAAGCATCAACGAACAATACCACCTGACCTGTGAGCTCTCATCCGTGCTTGAGATTAAACGTGGTTTGTGTTTTGCAGTGAGCAGCGGATCAGTCACCGTCAATGCCGACTCCTCAGTGCAACTGCTGGCAGAGGAGGCCGTTCCTCTGGACAGCCTGGACCTCACAGTGAGTCCCTGCTGTGCTGTTATCTCAACGCAAAGAATAATTAGAAAACTCATTCAAGCATGGCTTCATTGTCCACTTTTCACAATCCAATCCATTCCTGATGGGTTTTTTTAGTTCACTCACATTATGCGAAATGGGTCACATAATGCAAGAAAAATGGGTTACGAGTACAATTTCAAGAATTAAAGGGGCAGGTGTTTTGGGTTTTCACAATTTTGCTGAGGTTATAAAAGAGGACTGTTTAATGAAGCTGAATCTGTATAGTCGTACTGTATTTGAAAATTCAAACAACCGTTTCAGAAACGCCCTATTATCTGTCTATTGGAGTCTATAGACACCCTTTTATAGGATTATCATTTAAATCTAGCTTTTTGAACTATTTCAAACCACCCTTTGATTGTATTCATGCTGTTTATCCTCCACACAACATCATTACATAGAAATACAACGGTCTTCATTTTCTGTTAGTCACTGCTTTCTCCGAACGAGTCGAGCGTTCGGAATGGCTCAGCGAAAATGAGCTCATTCCAAACGGGATGTTCTCAGACTTGCCCTTTTTCCGACACCGAATATAGAGCACTTTCAGGTTCATTCCACATAAATAGGCCGCTTTTTTATTCTTCCTAGAGATAGCTGTGCTCGGGGGCCTTGCTGGTTAATAAGGAAGGAAAGGTCAGTCACTGTTGAAGTGGTGCAGATGTGTCAAATCCCCACTGAGAGACCTTTAACTCCTAGCAATGTTTGACCTTTACACTGTGTAATCGCCACTGTGACAAATGTCCTTCACAGGAAAGAGGCCACATTTATTTGCTCACACTGTTGAGAAAACGGCCATGCTAGTCTAGAATGTGGCTCAAGCAGCAGTAGCATTGATTTTTAAGGCAAAGATGAGTTTTCTCACTTATAAGGTGCTTCAAGATATTGAAGTTCTCGGTTCTGTATGACACTTGTTCCAATTGATGGCACCTTTTATAATGTCAGCTGTTATAGATTGAATCGTCGCCCAATACATCAGTTTCAAGATTACAGTGAATGTGAACCAAATGTCAGGAGTGCCATGTCTTTTGTACAGACGGCGAAAGCAAACCTCGAGAAAGCCCAGTCGGAACTGGTGGGCGTTTCAGATGAAGCAGCCCGGGCGGAGGTTCTGATCAGCATGGAGGCAAGCGAGGCAATCGTCAAAGCATTGGAGTAAATGATTTGTGTTGGTATGTACACATGCAGGACTCATTAAATACAGTATAATGAATGTTGCATATGAATGTACTTATGTCAAATTTCTCATTTTGTTTCCCTGTAGGATATCCTGTCAGTGTCAAAAAGTCTCCAGCTTTGTCTGTTCCCCCACCCCAGTGAAGTCAGAAACCGCAAGATTTAGCTGCTTGCTTTGTACAGTGGATGAAATTAACAATAAATTAATTTGAAAAAAACATACTGTGTCACTTTAATGTTGTTTGCTTTTCACAAAATTAATTTAAGCTGTATTTGCTGTGATATAAATTTATTTGAGGATGAATACAGTACTGTTCATGACAGAAAGGGGGCAGTATGGTACTCTTTAAACCTAAATGATCTCAAAGTCTTACACCAGGGAAACTGAAGCGAACCAATTAATATTCATTGTTCAATCAATGACACTGTTTTTGTACAAAATATACTATTTTTACCCATTAATTTTTCTGTGCATCTTCAAGCCTTGGAACCATTATACTAATTGTCATGCTACTCAAGCTGCCTTCATATGCATTTTCTAATTCCCTTAAAAACTGATAAACAATTGGCTTAAGGCACTCACAAGCCAGCTAGAGTTAGAAATACAGCTAGTCTATGCTGCTAGAAGAAACATCCAACAGACAGTGAACATTGTGGTGTAAAAGTCTAGAATTTGCTTAAGTACAGGGTGATTTTACATGGCAGCTCCAGCGCTATAAGCATGTGCCGACTGGAGTTTTACGAGATTAAACCACATGCGTCTTTATGAACGTCAGACGTCTATCGTGGCAACATGCTGCAGCTTGCTCTAGTAGCACATGTACAATTCAGTAGTGTCTAAAATGTTGCTTGCACTGCATAACTTGCATGTTTACTGTATATTTGTGATTAAATCATTTTAAATAGTTGACCAAATTGCATGAAAAACCATTGCCAACAATGAATATGTATGTTGACAAAAGGAGAATTTTTACTTTTGCACGTTCTGGTGGTGTCAAAAATCAGTGTTGCAAAGATTTTAAGATTTGGTTCGTTAAGGAACCACAAGGTTCTATTTATGTCACACAATGTTTCCATTGTTTTCATATTGTGTTCCTTCATCTCAAGTGTGAGTATAGCCTCTATTCTTAAACTT